GTAGAGGTATACAAGTCAAATAAAATAAAAAAAATACACATATACATACACATACATATTCATCTACACACATATACATATACACATACATACACATGCATATACACGCATATCTGCATATACACAAGCACACACATGTACACAATATATGTATACATATATAAATACAGAAATACACAAATATATATACACACACAAACACACATATATACACAAATATACACATACACAAAACACATATACACAGACTGGGCCACAGCAACGCATGGCACCGGACAGCTAGTTTCTGAAATATATTCAAAGATTATTTTTGTTCCACTTTGATTACTACAGCCATGCATATGTGTGTGTGTGTGTGTGTGTGTGTGTGTTTTCTACTTTTCCCTATGTTTTGCTGCTCATGTAAGTGATCTGAAAAGCAGCTGGTGCATAGTGCAGGCAACAGCAACAGTAGATGTTTAATCATCAGTTTACTTACAAATTTAAAAATGGTCCCAAAAGCAATTACCGCCATTCAGGCTGGATCTATACTGCCCTATATCCCAGGATCTCATCCCAGATTATCTGCTTTAAACTGGATTATATGAGTCTCCACTGCCGGATAATGAGGGATCAGATCCTGGGATTATAGAGCAGTGTAGAAGGGGCCCCGGAGGTGATGAGTAATTGTTACACATTACACACAAAGCAGCAGCATTACCTGTTACTCATGCTATTTTGGGTGGAAAGCACCTATTTTATTCCCTTATTCACCTAAAAAATAATGAATTACAATATGAAACTTAATTCTAAATTAATGTCCCATGTTATTCAAGATGGCTTTTTTGTAGTATTCCCCTTTGAATTTCAGAATTAAGGGCATAAACCTAAACATTTGAAACATTTCAACATTTTCCTCTGCTGAGTTGTTATCAAAGTTTTTGCACATTCTGCATTTCTGAGATTTTCCATGAAAACTTGAAGAATATTTTGTCTGGGGATGATTTTGCACAAAATAAATTTTTCACCAAAATTATTGCACATGTAGACAAACTATGTAAGTCACCTTGAGTCCCTATTCTTAATTATTATTTTAATAATAATAATTTCAGACAAGGCACTTTGTACAAAAAGTCTACTGTTGCTACTGATATAAAAGTGCTAGAATTTTCATTCTTCCAAAGCAGTGGAAAAATAAACCTGCGATTTGACAATTTTTGGGCAGGTTCAAACACATCAAGATTGAGGAAGATTTGAATTTCTACTCAGAATCAACCAGCATATAAACAATAAAATCCAAAGAAAGGAAGAAGAAGAACGTATCTTCTGTGATGAGTCCTTTGACAAAATGCACTGGAACTGACGAAGCCATATCTGAATATTAGAAAATGGGCATATACACACTTCTTTGCCTACAAAGTGGCTGCAGCACACATCTTGCTCAATGCATCCATGTACACAAGCATAAATGAGAGGCAGTTGACACACTGAGGTTTTGTATCATCAAACCACACTCCCCCAATCCCTCTCTCACACACGCAGCAAAACAAAGACACAACTGGCACATATATACAATAAAACCAAATAGAAAATTTACAAGAGGGTATGAACATTTCTGTGCAACACAATAGCATTTGCTATATATAGTATAATACCTAAAGACGTTTTTAATGTAATTTTGATGATGTTGCTTGTTTTTTTAAAAAAATATCTTCCGCCCCTCTCACCCCGCAGGGGACTCAGGGCGGATTACAGTGTACACATATATGGTGTCATTCAATGCCAATTTTTGACATACAAACATATACAGACATACACAGAGGCTATTTAACTTTTTCTGGCCACCAGGGGAGCTGTCGCTTTCATCGTCCATCTGCGACGCTGATGAAGCACTTCCGCATTCCCCGCATGCTTCCCCGCTGGAATGCTTTGCTGGAGTCTTCTTTATGGCCTCATAAATCAGTTAATTTAGCCTCCCCACACTTTAAGGTGGTACCTAATTTTCCTACTTGACAGATGCAACTGTCTTTCAGGTTGCAAAGGTCGACAACAGGCTACACAATTGGTTGGAAACCCACTCCAACCCGGGCTGGCTTCGAACTCATGACCTTTTGGTCAGAGTGATCTTAATGCAGCTGGCATTCAGCCAGCTGCGCCACAATCCCGGTGCAAATGTTTTGATTTTATTTTGATGTAATATGGCCCCATGTAAGCCACTCCGAGTCCCCATTGGAGAGATGGTGGCGGAGTATAAATAAAGTTTATTATTATTATTTATTTTAACTAAAATAGTAATCCTATGTGCATGGCCTAACTAACACATTCTAGGGCTCGATCTATACTGCCATATAATCAAAATTATCAAAAACATATAATCCACATTATTTGCTTTGAACTGGATTATATGAGTCTACACTGCCATATAATTCATTTCAAAGCAGACAATCTGGGTTTTATATGGGAGCATAGAAGGGGCCAATATCTATTGAAACATTCACACCTAGCTCCAGCAGACAAGAGTCCTTTGTCCCACCCTGGTCAATCCACAGATATATAAACCCCTTTTTCCTAGTTCCAACAGACCTCACTACCTCTGAGGATGCTTGCCATAGATGCAGGCGAAACGTCAGGAGAGAAGGCCTCTAGATTATGGCCATACAGCCTGAAAAAACCTACAACAACCTGGGCCAATAACTGTTTTTGAAAACAATGAAGCTTGACTTAAACCCAAATAGCTGCTGGGATTAGTTTCAATGATGCAACAATAACCATAAAATGCTTGTTTTTGGATAAAAAATAAAGAAATACACAGTATGTTTTGGGATCTATTTAACAAGCTGGTTAATTTCATGAAAAGGCCTCTGTTCAAAACATACATGCAGGCGAAACATCAGGAGAGAATGCTTCTAGAACATGGCCATATAGTCCAAAAAACCTACAACAACCCAGTGATTACAGCCATGGAAGCCTTCAACAATACATTCATACTTGTATCCATCAACTTAATTGAAAAGGGAATTGAAGGGGGATTGTAAAATGTTTTATGTTTTTAATTCAAGTAATGTTCCTTTAGAAAACCCAATGCAACAAAAATACAATTCTGGGGGTAAAAAATACAAGTGCTATAAAGGATCCTTTATTAGATGAGCTAATATGTTACTCTATACTAAATTGTAACTCTAGTTCTGCAATCTATATAGCAAGATAAGCAAAATGCATTTCAACAAGACATAATATAAAAAATTAACTCAGTGCCTCCTACATAAAATCTAATAGAAAAAAACCAAAAAACAGTTTAAAAAAATGAATATTGTGTTTTCCCCCTTGCACCTAGTTTTTTATTGTTAATGCTTACTCACATGTAGCCTCTGTGTAAATATATTGCACCCTGTATTTCTTAAGTCTAAGGAAAGGAAATCTAAGGACACATTGCAACTGGGGGGGAAAGGAGCAAACACAAAATAAAATCTTTAGCAAAAACATATTTTTAAAGCTAGAATGCTAAGGGTTTAAACCATCCAAACAACTTCAGCTTATAGTTAAGATTTTATCACCGCTATTCAGTAGGGACATACTCATGGGAGTGGGGGAATCAGTATTTACACAGAGTTATTCCGGCTGAATTGATTTATTCTTGCACTATATCATTTACCTTTACTAATCTCTCTTTAGACTGCCATCATATGTCATCCTTCTTCAGAGAGACCCAAATGAAAAATAGAGTCTAAAGCCCCTTCCATACTGCCTCTATATCCCAGAACTTGATCCCAGATTATCTTCTTATTCCTTTTATTATTATTAAATAATCTTTATTTCTTTTAAAAAGAAAGATACATGATTATGATAAAATATCAGAGAGCTTGTGATAGAAATGAATATATAGAGATATAGGTACAGATAAATTAAGAATAAAAAAATATAAAGTAAGGAGAGAGGATTGGGGACCCTCAAAACCAAGGGGGGGGAAGGAAGATGACATGGGGGGGACAAAATTGAGGGGTGAAAAAGGAGTTAAAAGTGGTGAATAGATGGAAAAAATATAGATAGATAGAATTAAAAGCAGATAAGAATGTCAAAAGTAGAATCCTTGACTTCCCGGTATCTTCTATGAGGTTCTCTCCTTTTCCTTTCCTTTTATTTCTTTTCTTTTTTTCTCTCTCTTTTCATTTTGCCCTTCTCTATCTCTTTTTTAAAGAAATATTTTCATTTTTTTCTTTCATTAAATATGTTATCACTTGTTTCCAATCTGTTTCTTCCTTTGAGATACCCTTCTTTTTGGATAATAGGTAGGTGAATTTATCCATGTTTCTTATATCTTGTACTCTTATTCCTGATTATTCCTAATTATCTGGCAGTGGAGAGTCATATAATCCCGTTTAAAGCAGATAATCTGGGATCAGATCCTTCTCGGTGGTGGCCCCCCGCCTCGAACGCCCTTCCAAAGGAAATAAGACAGGCCCCATCCCTACCCTCCTTTTGTAAGAGCTTGAAGACCTGGTGATTTCAACAAGCCTTTGAGAATGGCAAGTTCTAGCTCAGCTCCAAACATTGTTGAATATGGCCTTATACTTCCTATCTGTTACCCCAGTCATCCCTCTAATAGGCCTGGAAATGAGCAGTTACAGACCCATACCTGCTATTGTTGTTAGCCTGTTATAGGACTGTACTTAATTCCCAGTCCCCTCTTATTTTGAGTTTGCACTAGCCTTGGCCAGGCCTTTTAATAGCTCTGAACAGGCAGGATTATTTTTTAATGTATATGTGTTATTGTGATAATTTTATGCTTATGTTGATTTGTTAATGTTATGTCATGCTGTATGTTTTGGTGATGTTACTTGGAAACTGCCCTGAGTCCCTCTCGGGGAGATAGAGTGATATATAAATAAAGTTTTTATTATTATTATTATTATTATTATTATTATTATTATTAATAATAATAAATCCTGGGATATAGGGCAGTGTAGAAGAGTCCTAAGTAAATGTACCTGTTTGTGCTGCAAACATTGTTTCATTGTACTGACCTGTTGTCGCTTGTATGCCAAATGGTCCAGCTTTTTCAATTCTCCTTGAAGATTTTCATATATTTTCTGCATTTCAGATCTGGTAGAGACCTTTCGAAGAGACTCAAAAGTTCTTTGAACCTATGGGCATACAAATAGACAGGGACATTGTGAAAGATTCCCCATATTCAACAGAAATATACTAATTTGCATTCTGTTTGAACTTAGCAACAGGTCTTCTTGCAGGCCAAGTTTAATTATTGGGAAAACAATAAGGCTCTCTAGAGACAGACCACCCAAAAGGTGACCCATTACTGGAGGTGCCCCGAGAGATGCCCTCACTACTTTTCTGAAAAAAATGTACCTGGTAAAGACAAGAATTATTAGCATTAGCAACATTAGCATAGTTATCCTCACTAATGATTTGTTTGCATGTTACCCTAGGAATTCAGGTACAATATACTCACGATAACTTCCTGTGTACTAGATCCACGATTGCATCTCCTTCTGTGAACGGGCATGAGCTCTAAGATCTTCCGAGGAGGCCCTCCTATCGGTCCCACTACCGTCTCAAGCGTGGTTGGTGGGGACGAGAGAGAGGGCCTTCTCAGTGGTGGCCCCCTGCCTCTGGAACACCCTTCCAAGGGAAATAAGACAGGCCCCATCCAGGCATGTAGCCAGGGGGGGGCTCGGGGGGCTTCAGCCCCCTCCCCCCGAAATTCTCATGGTGGTTCGTGAAAAGGCCTTACTGGTGCATTATTGAAACTGTTATGTTTATTCATATCATGATCTGATCACCATACACAATATATCCCATATGCATGGGGGTATTGGGGTAATGATACAAAAGGTTTGCTAGGCTAGACCCTCTTTCACTCAGACTCAGCCCCCCCCCCAAAACCCCCCCCTGAAAAAATTCACACACACACACACCCCGAAACGAAATCCTGGCTACGGGCCTGGCCCCATCCCTCCCCTCCTTTCGTAAGAGCTTGAAGACCTGGTTAGAAAATGACCAGTTCTAACTCAGCCCTACACATTGTTGAATACGGCCTACTTCTTCCTACCAATTACCCAGATTCTTTCCTCTAATCAGCCCCGGAATGAACAGCCACAGCGCCGTACCCAATATTATTGTTGCCTGCCATAGCATTGCACTTAATTCCCGGGCCCCCTAGAATTTTGGGGCTTGCACAAATCTTGGCCCGGCCTTTTAAATTTTTAAATTGCCTTGAACAGGCAGGATTATTTTAATATATGTGTGTTATGGCGACAATTTTTATGCTTATATTTTGTTTTGTTAATCTTATAGTTATGTTGTTTTTTACTTTGTATGTTTTGTGATGTTACCTGGGAACCGCTCTGAGTCCCCTCAGGGAGATGGAGTGGTATATAAATAAAGTTTTATTATTTTATTATTATTATTTTCCCCATCCCTTTGTAGTCAGTTTGTTCTTGCTGTTGTTATTCCTCTTTCTCCATTACATTATGTAATTCATTATGAGTATTATCATAACTTGGGGACTGCCTGTATAAGACTTATTCCAATAACTGAATTCTTCTGAAATGGATTCTGGTTTGGGTATAGAAAACAAAGGCCTGTCATGTAGACCTGCAAGTGAGAAGAAATGTGTGAAGAGAGCCTATAAATCCATCTGTTGACTATCTTCATTTTGATCATCAACTTCTATTTTCATGGCAGGAGCCTTTAGAGATGTTTCCCTAATTAATGCACATCATGGAGTCTGATAAAACCACAGAAACATTTTTACTCTGGTATTTATTTAAGGCTGTTTTGCTTGTATCGGGCCATATGTTTTCCCCTTTTTACTGCATGCTTCTGAAGCTGTATCTGCACAAACTCAAATGAGCAAGCTCTTTTTATGTGCTCAAATGTGGATGTGCTAAAATGTGCAAAAACTAGACCTTCATAATCTGCACTGCACAGTGGATCTCATTCATACAGGCAGCTCTCCAAGGTACTGTCAAGTAACACAACCTGCATGTCAACTAATATAGCTGGTATACAATATCAGCATGGCACCAGGAATAATATCAATCGCTAAATATTTAAGCTGCTGTATGTTTGTGAAAATCCAGTAGGAAGGCAAGAGTGTATTAATGCTTGTTCTTAATCTATGAAACTGGAAAAGGACAAAGACATGCCAGGCTCATTAAATGCTAGCTGTAGTTTGATTTAATTGATAAAACAGATTTGTGTGAATGTGTACTTAAAAATCATTAAGAAGTTGTTAGTGTTTAATTGTAGCTATTTTTTAGTTTTTTGTCATCTTTGAGGTAAATGCACCTATCTAAACAACTTCAGTCTAATGCTCTAATGTTAATTTTGCTAATGTTAATACCAAATTAGTATCAGGACTGCGTGAGAGAGCTGCCTGGCTACTATTTAAATTGGCTTCGAACAGATTGGGTTTTGAATTAGCTAATGAAAAATATAATCAAAGTCACTCACACCACCTGCAAAGAGAATCTATTTATTTATTAACAATAAGCCCTGAATTTTTACTAAAATGGTACTCAAAGCCATAAATAATAAACTATATAAAAATAACAAAGTTATAATCAAAATATTGAAATTGACTTCTAAGCATATCCAAACATTGCTTGGGAAAATAGTTCTCAGCACAAAACACAGGTGTCTAAATGTACTAGACACTAGATTGCCAACTGTTCACATTGCCAGGGCTCTGCTTTATGCAGAGGCAGAGATGAACCAAACAAAAACCCAGTTCGTATAAAATAATTCAGTTAAAACAGCACTTACTTCCTGGCTGTTTTAATAGTCCAAAATATAAAACATAAACATAGCACTCAGCCACAGAATAAACAAAAACAGCAAACACTGTTGCAGATTCAAGATAACTACATAGTCAAAGGTCCAGTCCAGTGGTCAAACCCCAAGAATTCAATAAACAAAGTCCAGGGATCAAGATCCTACCATAGTCAACAGCCAGTCCAAAGATTCAAGGTTCCAGGATTCTAAGAGTTCAGGAGACAGGTCAGGATACTGAAAATCCAGAGACCTGGGGGGAAACCAGCAGCATCCACCACCAAAATACGACAAATACTTTTGTCCCAAAGAACATTTCCAAGGCTTGCTCCTTATATCCAGAAACACTCAGCTGCAACTATCTCTAGCATACCTCCACCCTTAATTGCTTTCATCCATGAACTCTTACTTACAGATTACTCAACCAATTGGAAATTACATTAACCCTTCCATCACAAACTGCTAGGCCTACCACCACCAACCACCATCAACTGCAGAGCATGATACATAACACCAACTAAGGACTTCACCACATTGATTTGCCAGCCTTCGTGGTGCATCAGGGCAATCAAGGCACCCCATGCCCGGCCTCAGCAGCAGCTGATGCTTCCCCATCACACGTGGGGAAGTGACGCCACGCATCATTCCCTCATAGTAGTCCCATTGTTCCTAATGGAACATAAGAAGGTTTTTGTGTTGGCAGTGCAGCATCGTACAATGCTGCCACCCCAGCTGAGTCACAGAGCCCTGTCGGAAGAGAAGCAGTGATGAGCAGGCCTGTAGCGAGGGGGTGGTTTTAGGGGTTCAACCCCCCCGAAATGTTTCAGATTTTTTAAAAAACCTGGTTTACTCATGAATTTTAACTGGTTAACCAAATCCCCATGCTAAGTCTATGAGATGCAAAAAATTAAGAGTCCCTCCAGAACTGTAAGCACTATCTCAAGCAAATATTGACAATTTATTCACACTGTCATTACTTGCAGCAATAGCCGATGTAGTGAAGCAACCAAGTTGGGTGTGTGTGCGTTGAATGCTCTCATTAAGGAGGCCAGACTTGGTGGAGGTGGTTGACAGGGGCGGAGCTGCAGGCTATTGAAGGTTGCTCTGCCCCTGCTGTGCTCTTTGCTTCAGCGTGAGCTAGGAGGCAGGTTTCAACCCCCCCCCCCCGAAATTTTCAACCCTCCCTGAAATTTTCAACCCCCCCCCCCCAAAAAAAATTGTCAACCCTCCCCGAATTTTTTTTCTGGCTACGGCCCTGGTGATGGGTGATGTGGGGCTCTTCTGGGGCAGAAGTGTCCTAGGATGCTGAAAATTCCTCATGTGATGAGGTCATAAATGAAAGCCAACTTTGCTAGCCAATTTCTGTTAGTTCAGTGGGGCTTCTTTCCCAGCCCTTTTTTGCTGCAGCCATCTGTAGCCTGAATATCTGCTACATACTGTTTCACCAAATTATAAAGATGGGCTCTAGTGGGAGAGTGAATTATCTCCCCATACATAAAATGTTCAACTCACTGAGGTAGTTTGATAAGCAGAAGGAAATAATTGGATCATTGCCATTAATCTGAGTTGCAGTAATGGAATAGTGTGAATTTTAGCAACCCTCCATACAATAAAAGTAACATATACAATGTGATTTAATACACTGCACGTTCCAATCCAGACGGCAATATCTGTGACACCAAAGAGATAAAATACCCATTTATGGGTTTGGCCTCTTTCTTTCCCCCATTTTTATACATTAAACGAATCTCTTCCTTGGTCAGCAATTTCATTCTGTAGGGACTGGCATAACCTTTAAAATTAATATCGCTTCAGTGATCAAACTCTTCTCTTTTATTCTATGAAAATTACAAAACCTAGTGCAATGGAACTGGCAGGCAGAGAACCTCTTCAACTATTTCAAATGATTAATGGCAAATCGTACAGCCAAGATCTTCATGAAGGAATACTACAATATGTCAGCACTGTCATTGTATTTTGAACACACTCCAGAGAAAGCTTTACAGGCATACATGAAAATATTGTCTTTTTTAATTGGCATACACTAGCAAACACATAGGAAAAGGCAGGGGCTCCTCTAAACATAATAATTCTGCCTTACTGGAGCTTTGTTGAAAATCAAATTTCTTTTTCTGACTCAGGGCAATATTTAACAGCAATTCAGTTGTTTGAGAGAATGCTAAAAAACTTTTTACTGCTGTTTATTAGGCCTGGGTAACAACGGAAAAATTTGTTTCTAAAATCGATTCGTTTTTTGGGGTTTTTTGCGTTTTGATATTTAAAAGAATTCCGAAATTTTCCTTAAAAAAAGTTCGATATTTACGAAATTTCGTAAATGGTAAAAAAAATT